TCATAATGTACACTGATTACTACGTTGACACTTACCTAATTAAAGTTAAGTAAAGTTACATTTAGTTTTGTATGAGAACCGTTGAACCATAAACTACATCTCTCATCTCGCACAATATATGTCACCAACATGTTAGGGCAGTAATGCTAACTAATGTGTATTGCTTGGTTGCAACTAGCTCGGTAACTTAGCTATGTTCCACACAGAAATATATCTCAACTGATGTGTTTAATCCAACGACGCCCGGTGCTTTTATCACATCCTCCTTTCACGGAAGTGCTTTGACGTTAGCTTCAGTAACATTAGCTTAAGTAACATTAGCTTCAGTGACGTTAGCTTTAGTAACATTAGCTTCAGTGACGTTAGCTTAAGTAACGTTAGCTTCAGTAACGTTAGCTTCAGTAACGTTAGCTTAAGTAACATTAGCTTCAGTGACGTTAGCTTTAGTAACGTTAGCTTCAGTAACATTAGCTTAAGTAACGTTAGCTTCAGTCATTGGGAGAAAAAGATGTCACATACGCGACTTTTGTGTTTGTGGTCTTCAATTAAATTATTATTATTATTACATTATTATTTATTTTATTATTATTATTTATTAATTATGTATTTTCACAGTCTGATACTTCAACATGTTTTACATCAAACTGCAACTTTTTTGTTTTTTAAATGTATATTTTAAATTGACCATCATCGTTTGCAATTCAGAGCACAATTCAAACGGGATCAAAAAATTTGTTGTCTCTTGCTGTTGACTATCGTACATATTTTTTCCGAAGTAAGGTCCTGTGCTGGCCCACTGGAAGGGGAGGGGCTTAGGCTCTTTATAGTTGCAGGATGCTTAGAAGAAGACCTCCTGGAGCTAGTCTGCAATGACCGACATCTTTATAATGTCTCATCACAATCATAACCTCCTTGAGTGTCGCCATGTTTGTTTACATTGTGCTAATTTAGAAGTTATTATGGAAGATCTTCCGGAGTCGGCCAGGGGTGACACGCCCCCTGCTGGATATACATTTAATCCTCCAGGTACACGCAAAGTACGCAGGCAAATACGCTAACAATGCCATTCACGTTGCTGCCACTTGTCTACGCTTATGCATTGTTAAAAAGCAAGTATATCTGGGGCATTAGCATTATACTTAGACCCACTGGGGGAAGCCCTGTAGCGTCAGTTTTCAACGCTGAAGGTAGGTGTATGATATTTAATTATAAGTCCAAATAAGGAAGTGGTTAAGGGTGGACGGTCAGCCAGAAACCGGACTTTCAACCAGGAGACCGGTGTTCGTTTCCTGTGTAAAACAAAAATTCAACATTGAATGTTTTTATTTAACTTGTGTAAGCTAGCCAAGAATTGTGAATTATCTTATTTAAGTTAAGTCACTTACATAAACCAGCATCTTTCCCCAAACCTAACCAAGTGGTTTTGGTTCCCAAACCTAACCAAATTGCAATGTTTCATAACTAAAAAAGACCAAGCATCCAAACGTGTTGGGAGTGAGAACGTGTTGGTCTCCCTGCGCCCCCTTGAAGCTGTAATTACACCTGTAAACTAAACTCTCCTGAGATTTTTTACCAGCAGTCAGGTAACAAGAGCCTCCATGCGAGCAGCTCTGTGAGGCCGCACCGACGCAGCGTTGCAGACATCTCTGAACTCGAACATTTCCCTCCTCCAGGTAGAAGAAGTACAAGTGAACGCCACTCACAAGCAGCTTTCTGACAGCATGATGGAAGCGCATGATGTAAATGGTAAAGCATCAACTAAAAGGCAACATAAAGTACCTGTATTTAATTAAAATAATACACACTGTCACGTAGTAAAACCTGTTCAACATGTGTCACCAGCTGGTTCCAGGAAACACTCTCTGAGGAACACAGTGAAATACCAAACAATGTGAAAACATTAGGACACATAAAATCACTACTGCAGGTCAAACTGCTGGTTCTGATAGGGCGGTCTCAGAACACAGCAGACACAGTGGGCTCCAGGCCTCCACAGGTCGGGGCTGTTTCGGCGACCAGCAGGCGATCACGAAGTTTCGTCTGGTTCAGTTTATATCTGAGTCAGAGCTGGTTAATGTGGCTCGGTTTGGAGGCCTCTGCTGGAGCCGCTCCGCCCGCGATCCGACCGGGGTAAGATGGATGGAGGGTTTGGTGTCATGCACCTGGAGCGCTGTCAGATCGGAAGTCAGAAAGCTTTAGTGGGAAATGAAACAGTGAAGAATATAGGGGTTAGGGTTAGTCTAAATATAATACACTGATGATCTTAATCAGGACTCTGACAGTTAAAGATATTCTGTTACCCCCCACTCATAATGTCATTAATCCCAGTCAGACTGTGTTGTTTTGTCTGCGTCATCCTCGAAGGCACCGCGGGGAGAAGATTACTGCTGCCGCCGCCAACTGTCATCACACACACACACACACAGGTGTGAATCACCTTGAGACAGGGAACAGATAAGAAGTCAGTCTGCTTCAGTCCTGATGCTCAGAGGGAACTTCTGAGGGTTTTTGGGTTAAAGGTTGGACTCACGGTTTTGTCACATGGGTGTCATTTACTGCAGTAAAAGTATTAATACCACAATGTAAAAAACACTCAGTTTCAAGTAAACATTTTGCAGTTAGTGTTACTGTAGCAAAAGTACTAATACCACAGTGTACAAATACTCTGTGCCAAGTAAACATCCTGCAATTAAAGTGTAACTGCAGTAAAAGTATGTGAGTATAATCAGGCATTTAAGTATTAAAGCAGTAAGATGTTGTACTATTATCTTTCCTCTCCTCAGATTCTCCTTCCCCCTCGTTAATGTAGAGCAGGATGTTGCTGCTGTAGTTGTTGAGCTCATTCTGAACTCTTTAGTATCAGCTCAAATTAAGCAATCTGATTGGTTCGTAGTAGTGGTATAATGAGCGTGTACAACTGCTGTGACGTCGAATTCCTTTGCACAGATCATGGATCACGCCGCGACAAAGTAACATCAGAAAGTACCACCGGGCGCAGTACCACTCCCATATCACCTGCCAACAATGTTGCCGAGAACATGCAAGCGAGCAGGGACACGGCAAAGATTCACAAACCCCCGCAGTACCATGAACCAAAAACTCTCGTATGCACGTCTTGAAACGAGAGAGACCATGGCTGTGCTGTCTCTTGGGGTTTGGTGTCTTGCCCAGGGACAGACATGCAGACTGGGGGAGCCGGGGATCGAACCACCGACCTTCCGATTGGTGGACGACCGCTCACAGCCTCTGGTTAGCACCTCCTGTTAGCAGTTAGCATGGATTTACAGCAGGGTTCTCAAGTCTGACACATTTCAACCGGCTCGCACCTTGTAGTTCTGACTCTGAGAAGGAAAGGATAACCGACATGTACATTTAATGGATCTTGCGTTTCTCTTTACATAAATCACGACATTTCCACCATAAAGTGACGCAGAAAAAGGTTTAACGTGTAAACTGTTTAATGCTCAACACCCCGTCAATTAACATGCGTCCCCTCCAGTGTTGAAGCAAAACCTAAACACAGGGGAACATCCCCAGTTACCTGGTTTAGGCTGTGATGTCTGGAGGTTAGCAGGTGGCTTTTCATCTATACCTGCTGTAAAGTATGATGTCTGACCCCTGCAGGTGGCTACTGTCACAGATCAGCCCCGACCTCAGTGATACCGACTCTCTCCACAAACTAAATTGAAAAGTTGGCAGCCCTGATGTTCAGACAGCTCTCACTGTGAGACTGAAGGAAACTTCTCAGGACGTTCTGCAGCGTCTCTCTCTGGTTTCTCAGATGATTTCTGGACGTTTGTTCATGACTGACAGCAGAGATGATGATATCCTCGGGAAGAAAAAGAAAGCCAAATATACCGAACAATATTATAAATGCAACCCTTTTGTTTTTGCTCCCATTCATCATGAGCTGAACTCAAAGATCTAAGACTTTCTCTATGAACACAAAAGGCCTGTTTCTCTCAAATCTGTCGAATTTGCCAAAATAATCCATTCACCTCACAGGTGTGGCATATCAAGATGCTGATCAGACAGCATGGGGATTGCACAGGTGTGCCTTAGGCTGGCCACAATAAAAGGCCTTAGGCTGGCCACAATAAAAGGCCTTAGGCTGGCCACAATAAAAGGCCACTCCAAAATGTGCAGTTTCACTGTATTAGGGGGTCCTTCTCATAGAGTTGATCAGGTTGTTGATTGTGGTCTATGGAGTGTTGGTCCACTCCTCTTCAATGGCTGTGCGAAGTTGCAGTCAGGTCGAGACCCTGATGAGGACGACGAGCGTGCAGATGAGCTTCCCTGAGACGGTTCCTGACAGTTTGACAGAAAATCTTTTGTCATGCAAACCGATTAATGCAGCAGGGTGGCTGGTATCAGACCGTCTTCCTGCAGTCAGCATGTCAACGCTCCCTCAAAACTTGCGACATCTGTGGCATTGTGCTGTGTGATGGAACTGCACATTTTGGAGTGGCCTTTTATTGTAGCCAGCCTAAGGCCTTTTATTGTGGCCAGCCTAAGGCTTTTTATTGTGGCCAGCCTAAGGCCTTTTATTTGTTAACAATATTTGAGAGAAATAGGCCTTTTGTGTACACAGAGAAAGTCTTAGATCTTTGAGTTCAGCTCATGATGAATGGGGGCAAAAACAAAAGTGTTGCCTTTATAATTTTGTTCAGTGTTTAAACAGAGTCTGTAGTGAAGCCTGCAGCCTGCGGGGGGCGCCGGCAGGAGGTCAGACTGCTGTTTTACAGAGTCAGAGACTTTCACCTGACGCTGCAACGTCTGAAACTGCAAACAGACGCTCACTGTCAGTGTGTGTGTGTGGTGAGTATTAACCCTTCAGGCTCTAATCTGCCCCAGGGGAGGAATTCAAACTACTCTTATTCAAATCCCCCCCCCCCACACACACACACACACAGCTCAGCAGCCAATCAGCTCCTCTGTGGGCGGGGCAGCAGGGTATAAGTGTGTCAGGTGAGCAGCAGCAGGTGTACAGAGCAGGCAGGTAGAGGACAACACTTTCACATAAACACACCGCAGAAGAGGACAGGAAGAGAACACATCCAGCATGGCGTCCTTCGTCCTGGAGCAGGGTCTGGCCCCGCCCCCGTGTCGACCCTCTCTCCCCAGGAAGGACCTCCCGTCTCTGGGCCTCGATCCGTCTGACTTCAGCCTGTACAGCCCTCCGGCTCCTCCTGAGTCCAGCCTGTCTGCGTCCCCGTGGCCGTCCAACAACCACGGCGACCCCTCCCTCTGCTTAGACCTGGGCGCCGCCTCTGTGGCCCCAGGAGGCCCCCCAACGTTCAGAGGCTTCTTCCCTCACCTCTACAGCCTCCAGAGGCCCCTGCTCCCCGGCAGCCCCTGGTTCTCCATGTCCACGCCGGACGACGTGCTGCGCCTCGTCCGTCCGCCGTACTCCTACTCCGCCCTCATCGCCATGGCGATTCAGAGCTCGCCGGAGCAGCGGCTGACGCTCAGCCAGATCTACCAGTACGTCTCAGAGAACTTCCCCTTCTACAGCCGCAACAAGGCCGGCTGGCAGAACTCCGTCCGCCACAACCTGTCGCTCAACGACTGTTTCCGGAAGGTTCCCCGCGACGAACACGACCCGGGTGAGTTCACTTCCCAGAGAGGATTTAGGCTTTTATTTTGTTAACATAACCCCCCGTCAATGACAGGAAATAGGCTCTGATTGGCTGCAAAAACTATGTGTTGAAAAGTCAAATTGTGTTTTTATGGAGTTTCAATCAAATTCAGTTAACAGTTTCTCTGCAGAACAGGATGTCTGACAGCCGCTCTGGTTGTTTCTTGAGGTTAGAAGATTGTGATTTTGAATAAAAACACAATAGAGGAGCAGAAAACTTCTGAAGAGATGAATAAAAAGTCATATTTAAAATTAAGTGATTTTTAAAGGGACTTCTGTGAAGTAGAATCTGTGCTGTTTGTTTCTGGACATTTAAATTTCCTAGTGTGGGTTTTTCTTTCATGTTGTGATTAAAACACAAGATAAATACTTTCTTTAACCTCCTCCTCCTCCTCCTCCTCTTCCTCTTCTTCCTCTTCCTCCTCTTCTTCTTCCTCCTCCTCCTCCTCCTCTTCTTCTTCCTCCTCCTCCTCCTCCTCTTCTTCTTCTTCTTCCTCTTCTTCCACTTCTTCTTCCTCCTCCTCCTCTTCCTCCTCCTCCTCCTCTTCCTCTCTGCAGGTAAAGGAAACTACTGGACTCTCGACCCAAACTGTGAGAAGATGTTCGACAATGGAAACTTTCGCCGTAAGAGAAAGAGGAAGGCCGACAACACGACCACTGGAGAGGAACCGACCTCCTCCTCCTCCTCCTCCCCCTCATCAGAGCCCAGCCCTAAAATTCCCAGCATACACTGCAGCGGTGGAGGAAGCACCACTGAGCTCCCTGCTTTCTCAGACGCCGCCGCCGGCCTCAGCAGCTTCCTGTGTCACCTCCAGGACTCCTTCCTCCTTCCCGACACCGGCTGCCCCTCAGTGTACATGCAGGTACCGGACCACGCCTCCCCCCCTCCTCCTCCTGCTCAGGGATACGCCTCCTCCTACTCGCCCGGCGCCGTGGTGCCTCAGTGGGACGCCTGCAGCTCCTCTCCTCCCCTCTACTCCTCCCTCCATCACTCCTCCTCTTCTCCTTCTCCTCTCTTCCCCTCCTCCCAGTCGACTCCCTCGCCTTTCTCCTCCCACGCCGACCCTCAGGCCGGCTCGCCGCCGCTCTACGTGGACCTGCAGACGGCGTCCTGTCTCCAGGAGGCCCAGCAGCTGCAGCAGCTTCAGGTCCGGCGTGAGCCTCTCTTCTCTGGGGGCTTCGCTGAGGCTCCGCCCCTCGACTCTCTGGTTCTCCATCAGTGACGCCTCGTGTTTCTACCGAGAACTGATGTTTAAAAGCAGCAGGACGCACTGAGCTCGCTGTCAAGACTGTGTGGATATATCTGTATTTATCTGTTTTTATATGTTCTTAAAGTTAAAAGAAGGAGATGAATGTTTTTTAAAGTGTAAATGAGAGTTTGTGTTTGGAATAAAAGATTTTTTTAACACCAAACGTTTCCTCCATGTTTTCACAAATGTCCTCATCAGAGGTCCCGAACGAAAACACAAAATATGAAATCATTTGAAGAAGGAAAAAAACCCATCTGAAAACTTTATAAAGTACTTTTACGTCCTCAAAATGGCGTTCTGTTGTGATGACGATGATATTGTTAAATTTAATAAACTACTTATAATAAACGTAAATTTGAAACAGCGTAAATATTTATTTATGGATTTAGACCTCAGCTTCACACAGGTCTGCTGTGGTAGAACTAAAATGGGGCGTCACATTAAAGGTTGCTGCTGCAAGGAATTGTGGGACGGCGTTACCTCCTTTCCTGCTGTAAAGAATGGCTCAGCTAAGGTGTCATTTACACAATGTTCTGCAACAAGAAATGTTAACAAATGAAAATGAGATTTGCACTAAAAGATAAAAACATTTCCACTAGAAACTGTGTCCAAAATGCAGGAAATTAAGTATTTCAGGGTCTAAATCCTCCCGCCCATTTCAAAATACTGTTAAAATATCTTTTTGTCACGTCTCGTGATCTGAGCCCTGATCCTCCACCTTTCAACACAAAGCGACGCCCTCGTGTTCCGGTGAATGCTAAGCTAGGCTAAAGGAGATAAGACAGGAAGCACCTCTCTTTAGCATTTAGCATCTTTAGCGTCTCGTGTCTCCTCTTTCTCAGGGAGATGCACCAGCCGGCGACGGACGACGACCTCAGCAACTTCAAACAAACAAACAACCAGCCAGGCCGTCTGTGAATCTGCTGAGTCATGTGATCCACCTGGAGGAAAACCCCCCCGACCTGCTTTCTGTCTGTCTGACTCAGCGGTTTCCCGTGCAGGACGAGTCGACAGATTGCGGCGCAGATTACAGAGCGTTTCAGTCAGCGGGTCTGTGGGATCTGCTGACCGAAACGCAGCGCTCAGATTTCCCACAGTCTGTGAAGTCACGGCAGGCCGGCCGATCTGTGGGAAAGAAGCTCCTCACCTGATCTGAGGTCAGCTCGACGTTGTTGATGTTTACGTCTGATTACAACAGGCATAAATCAGAGCTGCTGAAGAGGAGAGTTCAGGCTCAGAGGAGAAACGGCCTGTAAAGATCAGCAATTCTGCACAATCGATATTGAATCAGATCCTTAACAACAACAATACAGAACATCTGAAAGACATGAAACTGAGTAACAGCAGCTCTGAACAGACTGAGCCACGTTTTCCTTCCGCTAGTCTGCAAGACGACACGTTAAGGAAGCAAAAGTCCCACCTCGCCTTGAATCGTGTAAAAAACACGCCGACCTCATGTGCTAGACCATTGTTTTGTTTCCAGATCTCAGATGAATTACCGTAAAACTTCAATTAAAAGCCGAATCCCAGTTAGACGCCTGTCTCTTTTAGTGGCTGCAGGTTTAGACAAATAAACTCAGGTCTCAATTAGAAGCCTGGTCTGGACTTTAGTCCAGTTCTCTGGATGTATAAAACCTCTTAAAGCCCGCTTGAGGTACACATACAAATATAAATGTTTGAACTCAAGCGACACATCGTTAACTCAGATAGATTCAATTCAAAATTCACAGGAACAATGAGCACTAAAGTATTTTCTGAGAAGTTATTAAGTTATATTCACCCAGTTTAAATAAACTATTTCATAGCAGCCCAGTTCCCATCTTTTCGCAGTACATGACTGTGTGGCCTCTTAGGGCTTCCGTAGATGTTAAATATGTAACACCTTCTGTTTTGTTCTCTTTAAAAAAACTTGTTTTCTTCAAACACGAAACAACCTCAGCTCAAAGTTTACTTACTCGCCTGTTCCAGAGCTTTCAGCCGGGTCACACTGTCTTCATCAGCAGACAATCAAAGGCCCGTAAGATTGTTGTACTACTGTAACTACATTTACCACAACACTGTACAATTGTACTTTTTTTTTTACAACTCTAGATTCTAGAGGCTTTTTACTTCATTACATTTATTATTTTTTTTAAATATATAGATATTTAATATAAGCTTTATCAAAGAGGAAAGTCTTAAATGTGGAGATGGTGTCTGCCTCCTGAACCCAAACTGGAACCTGGAGCTTGATAGCTGAACGCTCTGGCTCCTAGTCTACTTTTGGAGACTCTAGGAACCACAGGTGCATTCTGCAGAGTTCTGTTCCTAATCGGCTCAGTTAGCCGAGCAGCTAGGACCAGCGGGGAGTGTTAGTGTTTACAGCTCGACTCGAGCGCTGCAGGTTTTCAGGCAGCGGGCAACAAAACCTCCGCCGCCTCCCAGTGAACGGGACCGAACTCGGCCTCAGAGACCAACAGGGCATCCAGTACAGAGGCGATCACAGAGTTTCTTGATGGACAGATACATTTTGTTTTTGCATCACCGCTAACTGCTGCTAACGGTACATTATCTGTCTGTATCTGAGGCTAGTTAGCTCGCTCCTGGGCAACGTGGGGCCTCCTACCTGACTCGTGAGCCGACTGAGGATCCAGCTTCTCCTCTACTGACAGACTTTTACCCTGTAAATTACAGATCAGGCCCGTTCAAACCTTTAATACATTTTCAAATGTAAAATACTATTTATACTCTGACTTGACTGAGTATGTGAGAGATGTCAGATCTTAAAGGTGCTTTCACACCTGAACCGTCAACTTGGATGCTCCTGTGTCCAAATTTTGATGAAACACCACTATAGAAGATAAAATACACGAGGTACAAAATGAAATTAAAAATATAAATCACAAATAAGTCAAACAGACTGACGTTAAGAAGCACGTCCGCGAGATTGAACAGTCTGTCGGATTTTCTTTCCTTCTCCACAGGAGGGAAACACTCAGAACGCCTTCGTCTGATGAAATATTTTAACCCATCCTAAGTATTAGCAGCAGGAGCTACATTTCCACGGGACTTGGATTTTGTGCAAAGCTTCGTGAGTTTTTGAGAAAGTTTAGGCCACCAAGAATGTCCTCCATATGCAGGAAGAAAGGAAAAAAGTTGCACGAGCCCGAAATAATTCCCGGGTTCTAACAGACAGCCGGATCATAGCTGAGTGCTGAGGGCAGCGTCCGCACAGAGTCATGAATGAGTCTCAAGCTGTGGCTCTAAAGTCCCAGGCTGAAGAAGAACTAACACTACACTGTAAAAATACTAACAGTCCTGCATTTAAACATAAAAGTATTATCAGCAACATGTACTTACAGAATGACAGTAAAATGTTCTCTGTTATATCTGATGTTTCTGGATTAATTAATATTCCTGCTGCATCAATGTGGATGTTGCATTTTAACACCTTTACCTCCGGCTGGGTGGTTTAACCTGTAGAGAGAGACGTAGGTGGGTTAGATGTAACATGTCACTATGGCCGGGATTTGATGCAGAAGTATAAAATGGCCTTAAAGCTGCAGCGAAATCACAACTAGGAGCTAAAAGCTCTGAGGAGCTGCAGAGTGGCTGAGAATTCTCTGAGGGTTTGACGCTGTGAGCGACCTCATGTCATGTGACCCACTGCTTTAATGCATCTTTACCATCTGAGATCCGACTCACATTCGGAAGCTTCAGATGAGTTTAAAGTGTTGGGAGTGGATCGGCGACATGGTGTCCAGGTGTAGCGCTGCATCAGGACAGTTTATTATTATCTCACCGTGGTTACCACCTTAACTGCCATAACGTGTGATTACATCTATCTGTGTTGCAGTGGTCCTGCCTCAGCATGCCTCCTACCAGTCGGGCCGCCCCTATAAGGACTTCATCCAGTTTCCTTTAGACAACAGCTTCTGCGGCTTTAAACGCCTCGTGTGGAAAGAAACTCTCTTTTTCCAGTAAGTCGACAGACAGCTCTTTAACGCACACGTCGGCGCTGAGTGACGAGGATGAAGCGAACGCTGAACCGTCCTGCAGTCTGACTGAACATGAACACACACACACAACATGCAACCACTTCTTCTTCTTCTCTTTCTTTCTGCTGCAGCTCATCTGCTCACTGGGAAGTTTGACTTTTGGGTGAAAATGAAGGAATTCAAACATGCTAACATGCTAACATGCTAACACGACATATGAGCCTGATCAGGAACCAATAAGAGGACAGAAACATTAAAGCCTGTTGTAAAGTCAGCTGCAGGTCGGTGCTGCTGTCCTCGTTTCAGACTACATCTGTTCACCTTTAGTGTCCCCATCAACCAGCTGTTAGCAGCTCCTGTTAGCGGTTAGCATGGATGTGCAGACAGATGCCTCTGGATCTCTGTGAGACTGAAGGAAACTTCTCAGGACGTTCTGCAGCGTCTCTCTCTGGTTTCTGATCCACCTCCTACAGTATGTCAGTACAGAGATGACTGCGGCTTCGACGTCATAGTCTAACGTGAGCTGCAGGGGCGGGGAAGAAAAACGGCGCCGTCAAGTCGGACACATTCTACCTGCGTGAGTTGAATTTACTCATGAACACTGCGGCAGCACGACCGCAGACAGCAGCTGGACAGCACTTTGTGTACGAACATTTCTACGACGCACAGTCTGAACTACAGCTTTCACTGTCGATACTCGGAACAGCCATCTTGGATCATTCGGGGTAGTGCGGTTCTCCCGACTTTCCAATGGTGCGTTTCATTTGACACAGGAAGTCGGAATTTCCGAGTTCAAAGTCAGAAAGGCCCCCTTAAGTCAGATTTCTGACTTGGCAGCTCTGAGCAGTCGGTTAGTTAGGGTACACAGGGCGTTAAAAAGCAACGCCAAAGGGTCCTGACCAAGCGTCCGCATGTGAAGCCCTGGGAGCGAGAACGTGTTGGCGTAGCAGTAAAAATGGGACAAACATTTTATCAGCTTGTTCTTCGGCAGGTTGTTTGGCTTCACATCCTGGAGGCTGCAGCTGCCCGGCCTCCAGGGCGTGAACGCCAGGTTCCCCTGAGGAGTCCTGCTCAGGTGCAGGTCAGCCTGCTGGCAGAGCGTGGCGTCTTGTGTGATCGACCAGCTAACCGCCAGGCTGACGACTGGCTGCTGGCTGCTTCACATTTGCATAACGTCACACACACACACACACACACACACACA